CCAGCAGCCCCCCTCCCAAACACACAGGGCCCCCCCAGCCACCGACCACATGCATACCGCACTGTTGGGGGAAAGAGTACCCTACAGAGCTCCACAAAAAGACAACCACTCACAGGGAAAAGATGGGGAACCTCTGGCCAGAACCACGGTGTCATCTGCCTGGAAAGGGACACTGGGTACACACATGACTGGTCAGTCCTGATCAACTAGTCACACAGAGAAACATCTCATAGGCTGCTTTGCAAAAACAGAGCTGTCGCAGCCAAACCTGCCATAGTGAGGAACCATCTGGCAGGCCTGGGAAAGACTACAAGAAACTATAGATATCCAGCTTGTCAGCCAGCCTGCTCTTGATTGAAAAAGTCCACTAACACGGAAAAAAAAGGAGAGAAAAAAGAATCTCCGCAAGAATTCTCACATTCTTACTCCAAAAAAACGGCTGTTGGCACGGGGGGGGGGTTTGGTCACCAGCAAAGGCCGTCCCTAGGCTATCTTTTTGTTTTGTGCCTAGTGTCCTACTCCTGCAGGTGGCAGTATAACCCAATGGTACAAGATCTACCAATCTTTGCTGTGTCCTTCAATGAACGAAAGAGAAAAATATTTCTTTTGACAAGTGTATAAAATAAGGCCTTTACTCAACCAGTCACTGTCTGGGGGGTCAGGGAGGCACGAATTTGCAAAAATCTGAGCACTTTAGCAGGCTCTGGCCATGGCAGCTGAAAAAGCAGGAGTATGATATTGTGACCAATGGAAGTTGTTTTCTTCATCAGGTTAGTCTTAGGAATTCTGAAAATTCTGTATTTTTGTTGTCTTTATACCAGACCTGGCATAGGGGGAGGATGAAGGGTTGCCTGCAATACATTGTATACAGGGTTGTCTGCCTAACCTTTCCCATTAATCATCAGTAAAGAAATAAGTTTGTATCTGCAACATCAACATTTGCCCCAGGAAGAGTTAAATTCAACACAGATGAGGTTACAGAATTTGAGAGTTCCCATTTAAAATGCCATTTCTGTGGGCATGGCTTATGCATGGCGCTGAACGGTTGCACTTAAGCAGAGCTCCCGCCACAGCCCGCACAAAATTGCCGTTATATTGCTTAACCACCTCTTATTTCACGTTCCGGTTGCTCACTACCATGGGGAGGAAAAGCCAACGTTCCTCTGGCGCGAAAAAAGCTACCTCTGGTACCTTGAAAAGGTATTTAATCACGGACACGAGATCCTCTCAGGCCTCCTCCTCGCAGCCTACCACATGGCAGGCGCCTGCGGATCGGTCAGTGGAACATGATACCCAAGCCATGCCAATGACCCCTGATTCCCCGTGTTCCACTAGCGAGTCGGACCCTCCCTCTTCCCCGATACTGCTGCAAACGGAGTTGCAGGTATCGGAGGTCATGAGGGACCTTCCAACGAAGGCGGACCTGGCCCACATATTCCAAGCCCTGGAATCCTCACTCAAGCAGGACCTATCCAACATGAGAACGGACTTATCACATCTACTGACCAGGGTGGAGGACTCGGAGTCACGGCTGGACGACCACGACAGAGTTATCCGAGATATCCGGGAAACCCAACGTCAGGTGATCTTGACACAGCGGAATATCCTATACAAGTTTGAGGACCAGGAGAACCGCAACCGCCGAAACAATCTGCGGAACCGGGGCCTACCAGAAGCTACGCGGACCCTGACCTAGCGGCTTCCCTACAGGGCATCTTCAACTCTATCCTGGGTAGGCCGGTATCCACACCCATACGCATCGACAGGGCCCTCCGTCCGCGCAATCTCTCCGACTCTGCACCTAGAGATGTGATCTGCCGGTTCCACAACTATGGAGAAAAGGAGGAGGTTTCCCGTAAACTGAGAGGGATGTCGTCCATTGACTTTGATGGTGCCCAGCTGCACATCTTTCCGGACCTGGCCAGAGAGACTTTGGACTGGCGACGAGCCTTACGCCCTCTCCTGGATCAACTCAGACGAGCGGAGATCACCTACCGTTGGGGCTTCCCTTGCCAGCTTGATCGCCAGGAAGGGGGGGCCGATCGGCGGTATTGCGCTTCCCAGAGGAGCTGGAGGCGTTTTGCTCGGATCTGAACATCCCGGTACCCGACTTGCCCGGCTGGGTCAACGCGGTTAATAGATATGGTCTCTTCTAATGTGCTGCACCCAGGGGGTGCTCCTGACTCATGATGGCAACTTTTAACTTAGCCTCTTATAACATGAGAGGCCTGAACACCTCCGCAAAACGATATCAGGTTTTGAGGGAACTCCACAGGCTCTCTAGTGACATAGTGTTTCTTCAGGTGACACACCTGTCACATTCTACCAATACACGTCTGGACTCTTACAGGTATCCCCCCTGGTACTACAGTCTTTCAGACTCCAACAGAGCTCGGGGAGTTGCCATTGGTATCCGCAGGGGCACCCTTTAATACTATCTGAAATTAAAGTGGATGATGGGGGCCGATTTGTGTTTTTGAAGGGAACTCTTGGCAACGCTTCCTGTACATTGGCTTGTATCTACTGTCCGAACCAGAATCAAACTGGCTTCCTGTCCAGGACACTCAATAGCCTCCTTGACTTTGCCTCAGGGATATTGCTGGTAGGGGGGGACTTCAATCTGGCGTTGGACCCACACATAGACATCTCCACGGACGCACGGCGCTCTCTTATAGCCAACAAGACTTTTCTCACTACTCGGCCATGCACATGACTCACGTATTGATATAATTTTCATTGATCACCACCACCTCCTCCACCTGGTCAACTCAGCCTCCATAGCCCAGAGGACGGTGTCTGATCATTCCCCAGTTCTGACCTCCCTCACCTGGCCATCCCTACCATCCAAGTCAGCTAATTGGAAATTGAATGAAAATGTATTGCTTTGCCCCATTTCCAGAGCTCAGCTGGCTGAGGATATAAGGCATTATTTTCAGCTGAATGCCGTACAGGAATCCTCTCCAGCGGTGGTCTGGGAGGCGCACAACAAAGCCATGACTAGAGGTAGATTGATAGAGCTGAGTGCCAGGAAAAAACGGGAGTCGGATCGGTAATTGCAGACACTACTGGCTCGAATACAAGTTCTAGAACGACTGCATACATGCTCTTTACAAATGGAACACCTGCATTCCCTCCAACAGTGCAGGGTAGACCTGAAACAACTATTAGATCGTAAATCCACATAAAATGTATGTGGATGCGTCAACGAATGTATGAGTGGGGCAACAAACCGGGGAGACAATTGGCTAGATCTCTGCGCCTTAAACAATCGGCAACGTAGTTTATCCCCAAAATTAAGACTACAGGGGATAAACTGGTACATCTCTCACAAGATATAGCCAAGGTGTTTTGCGAGTATTACCGCACCCTGTATAATGTAGCTGACACAGGTACACTTTCTACAGATCCCCCTCAGCTTAGGAAAACTCTTATAGATGAGTAGTTACGCAATGCCCACCTCCCATCGCTTCCGGTGGAGGAGCTGGAGGCCATGGAAGCGGACTTTACGAATGCTGAATTTTCAAAAGCGCTACACGCGATGGCTACGGGCAAAGCTCCAGGCCCGGTTGGGTTCACTCTTCAATATTATCGCACCTTTGAGGATCTATTACCCCACCTGACCAATTACGCTAACTCCATCAGATCTGGAGGACAATTGCGCACAGAAACGACCCTAGCTCACATTACAGTCCTGCCCAAACCAGGTAAAGACCCCACCTGCTGCTCTAGTTTCAGGCCCATATCGCTGTTAAATGTGGATATCATCAAATTGTACTCGAAGGTTCTGGCACTCCGTATCCAACCGCTGTTACCTAAATTTGTATTTCCAGATCAGACCGGATTCATACCGGGTCGGGAAGCTAGAGACAACTCCCTGCGCACCCTACATGTCATGTCTTGTATTCGCAGGGTGGCCTGGGATTTCCTGCTGGCGACATTGGGGGTCATGGGGTTGCGCTCAGGAATGATGTCCAGGATTGCGGTATTATATCAGAATCCTATGGCCAAGGTGAGGATTAAGAGTGCTCAGC